GTGGTGGATGAGATCCATCTTGCATAAGAGCCAAGTTAGGCACATGGCTTGAAAGAGTCTTGTTCCCAGGCCTCTGAACTTGGCAGGCCTCTGAAAGGGAAACACCCCTGGACATATCAGATCTGGAGGTAGATCTGACTCTACCTGTGTGCAGTTAAACACTCGAACCAGACTTGCGTCAGGGTTGATGGCAGCTTAGGTTATGGATTTGTATGGGATAGTTTGGACAGGGATGATCCTGCCTCAGGTAGGGGATTGGACTAGACCTCTGGAGGTCCCTGCCAGCTCCACTTCTCTCTGATTTCTAATTGCTGGCCTCTTATCTAGGGCTGCAGTGGGCTGAACTGCACAGTACTCTTCCTGACATGAGCTATTGTCCTGAAACCTCACAGTGCAAAATGCTGGAAAGTTGTTGAGAGAAGAGAGAAATCAGGGGCTTCTTTTGTTAAAACTCTTCCAACCTATCCCACTTTCTGATACCCCCTGGCCCCTCCCTTCTCCAAAAACAGGGAGGGAGGGAGGGAATTCAAGGAACAAATCCCCATTTTTCCGTGATCAAAATGAAACCACTATCTATCTATCTAGATTTAGATATCTATACAGATATATGAAGTGAAAATGAAATTGAGTGAAATGAAACACCATTCATAGAACTATAAAAATGAAACACCACTAATACATAGAGATATATATTTATATAGAGATCTATATCTTTATTGATATAGATATACTTACGTATTAGTGGCGGTTCATTTTAATCACAGAAAAATGTGGATTTGGGATTACTCCCTTGAACCCGAAAAGTTGGGATTGTTTTTACCAGAGAGAACCAAGATCCCTGTTCACTACACAACACCACCCCCGGCCGTGGGCAGGGAAGCCTGTCCCTTTAAGATGGTCTGCAAGGTCTTCCACAGCTCTGGGAGCTGCGTCGAGTCCAGGGGGCGAGAACTGAGCCCAGGGGGGCACTGCTGATTGGCGGACAGGGCTGGAGAGCGGCATCTGCCCATTGGTCGGGGCTGGG